CTGTTATCCGTTGCAAAATTACTGTGACTGGGTGTTGCACCAACAGGGATTTGACCTGTGTTATCCCATTCGTCAAATTAAAACTTGTCTTTATCTATCGGCTTATTAACGGTATTTCCTACTCTTCGGTATCTACCCCTTCAAACTCTGATATCTCACAGTCTACTGAATAAAGAAAATATTCCAGCGATTCCAAGAACCCACGCAAACTTACGCCATAATTAATTCATTATTCGCTATTCAACCATGTGGAACAGACTGCCAGTGAACTTGCGTTGCAGTGAAACTACAACCCGGTTCAGAAGTCTCCTTGATGATTTCCTTTCCGAAAGTGGATTGTGTCGCCTATTGAATAACAATGTGCTTTACAAGCATTCTTAATCTTACAATTACTGGATCTATATTGTTCCAAGGCAGTAGAGATGAACATATTCCAGTGGTTTTTCCTTCTTCTAAGACGTTTCCTGACTGGTTTAGTTATCCTCAGTGGAGTGTTATTCGGTCTACGCAGTAACAGGTATGGTATGAACGAGGACGTAACTAAACTAAACTTACCTTTGAATACAGACTGTGCCTCTTCAACTGATAAGCTAGTATCTACAGACCAATCTGTCTTAGCAACGCACTCCTGAATGGCTGATATGCTAGCTCTCCATACATTTGGGCGGAGTGTAACCTGATGGTATATCATGTCCCTAGTTCTAAACTTGAATGACAAAACAGCGTGATCACTGTTCACTAACGGTGGAAGAATATTTGGGTCGGCAATATCCTCAGTCGCATGAGTGATTACCAAGTCCAACAGAGAAGAACCTTGGTTAACACCAAGACGTGTGGGTTTGGATACATGCTGCACTAATGCATACTGAATTGCTGTTATCAGAAACTTACCATCAAAGGAGTTTATAGATCCTTCAGTGGACAACCTAGTTCAACTAATATCAGGCGCATTAAAATAAAGTCATTAACTAAACAAATTCAACTGCGATAAATGACAACGAGTATAAATGTGCCACATCTGATAGCCAATTCACAGCTATATATTTTCTTAGGGTAACATTATTTCTTAAGGTCAGTCGCACATTAACAGCTTCATAAGTTGGTCTGTGCTTCGGCATCGTTCATCTGCCAGCTATTACGGACTTATTATATGTAGTATTTCCAAGTCTCTTAACACCCTTACATTAATTTATAGCATCCATCTAAACAGCACGTCATCTCTCCAGAGAAGCAAAGGGGAAAAGTGCTAGTCGTCCATAGCAAGTGGCTGCTGAACAAGCAATTATTTGTTCGCAGGGATGATCTCACTGTGATAAATATCACTGATCGTATCGATCCCGTTCGTTACTTTTCCTTGAGACGATGCACTGTGTTGCATCACTGTGATAAGTTTTCAGGTATAAACCGTTGCCTTCCGATGACTACCATATAGCAGAGGAACTAAAGGTATATTTCACTGAATTACTTGATTACAAAAGCGCTGTTGCAAAAGAGGAAAACACGCTGACGTGGGAAACTGAGAGGCGGAAAATGTGGATTGATAAACATACACAATTCATTCATTTGTAGGGCTGCCGAAAAACTTAATGATTACTTGTTTATTCTCAAAAAAACAATATGTTGCACAAGGCATACCAGATTAAAGACAAAATCAAACAGTTTCAATTGTTACGGAACTTACAGTAATAAGTTACTTAGTCAAGTTAATATGTAAATCATTAACTTCGGCGTTCCGTGTCGATTGTTTGGGATTACTCGAGTTAGATGGGAAAAGTCACCTCCCAGCTTACGTCAAAACCACAACTCGCGCCTGGTTCCTAACGTGGATTACCCTTCTGTATTATTCAGGTACTACGGTTGCTCTTATGACTGTATAACGTTATGAAAGAAATGCATTGGTAAGCATAGGTACAAGAACAGTGTTCAATCATTGGTACATGGGTCAATCCATGGCGTCCGTTTGATATATGTCATTTGGTTGTCCCTGACCCTGACGAAGATCGGTAAACCTGAATTGGAATTTGATTTTCTTGTTTGATTCGTAGGTTCCCGATGTATCAATCGACCGTATTTTAAGAACAGACCAGAGTAGTATTTAGAAGCAACTCTGAATAGTTGGTTCCCTCAAGCAGTTGGAGATGGTTTGGAGAATACTTTCCCTCAAATATTATCGGCGTAATATTTTAATCTCTCAAATCTTCTCTCCCTGTACAGTAATCCTGAATTGACCACTGATATCAGACACTTGGTACAAAATTTTGGCTTGTTGGGAAATGTTACTGAACATACGTGCTGAGGATCAAGCGAGGACGACTTTAGTCCGGATTACATTTTTCTCAACCACGAACTGAAAGTTGCCGTCTCACTATTCGTGATCTACCTGTAACAGGGCAAGTACACGCTCATGTCATTCCTTCCATTGTTAAATAACCTTATGAAAAAGTAGACAAATATCTTGTTAGGTATCATGGGTCGGGATTATCTTACCTGACTCGCGTTATATGCTACTTATGTCGATATAGGTAGCACGTACCACATTATGATTCCACAGTTACTCGAAAACGTTTTCACCGTTTGCCTGAGACCTCATAATAAAGAATCTCCTGCTTTATATCCCTTCACCTCAAGAAAGATGCTGGTCTGGGAACGTGGTCAAAGAAAAATATTCAAAAATCTATCTGGGCTACGATACAAAATCTTCGCTGATAGAGTGAGTACGTTTTGAAGCTCTATGCCCTGAAGCTATAGTAATAGCACCTTCTTCTGAATCGTTTTAAAAAGGATTCGACATTTCGTCTAGTTTTATATGCACTAGATTGATTACTCATACTTACTCCTCGATAACTTCTATTATAAACTCAATTTCCCTGTTTCTCCGTCTCTAGGAAGGACATAACAAACGATATATCCCTTTGTGACCATAGACGCATTCCAAATACCTAGAAACAGAACCTTAGGAACGAACAGTCCAGTTGTTCTTCCAAGCAAATTTACATTTGAAGTATAAATGATGAAATATAAAATATCTTCCTCAACAGGTATCGTCAGACTTGTTACTTTTTGCCGATGACGTAAAACTTTGGAGAGAGATACGCAACCAAGAGGATATACAGGCACTTCAGGAGGATCTGACTCGACTTCAAAGTTGGGCAGACGACAACGCACTTACCTTTAACACTTCAAAGTGTAAAGAAGCCCATCTGCGACATGTCGTAGACTACAGTTACAAATTAGGAAACTCCTCTCTAGTAGTATGCCGAGTCGAAAAAGATTTAGAAGTCCTGGTAACCTACGATTTAAAGCCTTACACTAACTGTGACAAAAATGCCTTCCGAGCAAACCTTGCACTGGCAACATTGAAGCGCATTTTTGGCCAGTTTGACGGAAGAACTTTCCACATAATCTTCAATAGTTTTATTCGTCCCCATTTAGAGAACGGAAACGGTATTTTCTCCTACACTCCAAAAGGATAATGACACTCTGGAGCGTATCCAACGGCGAGCCCCGAAATCAGTTCCGGGACTCAAATTTAAACCTTATAAAGAGCGCCTCCAATCCTTTGACCTTTACCCATTAGAGTATAGGCGTCTTAGAGATGACCTCTGCTATATGGCAGTCATCGGAAGGCAACGGTTTATACCTGAAAACTTATCACAGTTTGACGGAAGAACTTTCCACATAATCTTCAATAGTTTTATTCGTCCCCATTTAGAGAACGGAAACAGTATTTGCTCCTACACTCCAAAAGGATAATGACACTCTGGAGCGTATATAAAGAAGGAATGATAACTTCATAATATTGTGTCGGGATACAGATAATCTTGTAAAGGGTATCTGTTAGTGTAATCCACGTACACTCGTAGCTTAAATTTACCAGAAGAAATGGGGTCAGTGAAGAAATCCGAATGGCCTAAACCTAGTCCCGCTGCCATCAACAATTTTTGTGACGAACTCAGATTGACCATTTGCAATTACAGTGTTGTTAGACAACTTCGAGTCTTCGTAAGTAATGATTTCCTTGGAGAAATCATAACTAACCTCGGACTCAGTCATATTGCCTTACATTGCCGTGATTTGGTCGGCTTCAAAAGTAAACTTCTTCGGCATATCTCTGTGCAGCCTATTTAGCCGCCGCATATCCATAGTGGCTGAATATTTAACTCTTTGCATATATGATTCAACAAGAAAATCAGAAAATGATCCCAGACTACCATGTTCAATGACGTCGTCAACAATGTTTTAAACTATGTGCATTATAGATTAGGTGTTGCCTACTTCAAGAACTTTCGTATCCCAATAAGAACTTGTTCAGATTTACGCGAACACGGTTTTAGAAGACAGTGGTTAACTTCGAGTGTGACAGTAAACAGACTGATAATAGTAGACATTGGAAGTTTCTGTACAATGCTTAAGGTAACTTATCATGAAGAACTGCATGGCCCAAGTGCAATAAAAACAACCTGTATCCATAACTAACTACCAAACTGACTACAATTAGCGCAGCCAAGTCGCTAGACCTTAACAGATGTCTGGAACCTTAACAAAATAACAGGAAGCGAACTCAAACAAATCAGTCGTTTTTTACAAACTTGAAGCAAAGTTATTGGATTTTGACTACACATATATCAGTAACTTACTTTTCCATCCTGTAACAGTGGCTTATCACATCAGCCTGGTAATTATTGGACAAAACCACTCAGCTTTTCCCGAACTTCTAAAAAAACGACTGCCTCTCGAATACAACAAAACAACTAAACATGAGTGGCTAGATTGGCTGTACTGAATGTGTATGAAGACTTGCAACTACATGATAGCTCAATGACACGAATACCAAAATGACCATTATGTAACTTACATATTATAAAAAGGTTTTATAAGTTTATATTTTGACTTTCTAATTAACAAGTGAGAACAGAGACACCTGTTTGGTTTATGATTATGTATTATCAATACACGTTGCGCATTAGTGGGTGCTGTTTAACTTTTCATTTCCTTATTGTGTTTTCGTGCCCAGAACGTCCTTGATGTCTTCGTTGAATCGCGTAGTAACGTATTCTGTTCGCTCATATGTTTATGCGAATGTCATTTATCAGTAATTTGGTGGCCTACTGTTTCCTGATGATGGGCCTAAATTATGCATTTGGTCTTGAATGTAAATCACAATCAATGTACGAAATCCGGATTCTACACTGTGCATGTGACGCTCCAAATATTTCCTGGACGTTCAACTCTTCTCAGATTATCAAGAAGTAAGCATAAGTTTATAAATCTTATTTTCAAGACCTGGGAAGTTTTTGCATTCAAAAAATGTCCTTCAAATATTTGACTTCAGGTTGGAAGACAGCGGCGTATATAAATGCTTCGATCCCAGTAATGTGTCCAAAGAATGTAGTTCAGTGTGTCTGAAAGCGGATGGTAAATAGAGAGTAGATGTATCATTTTTCAGATCCTGATTTTTATTATAAAGCAATTCACGAAGATTCTATCCCTGATGTGGAGGCTGAAGAGCGAGGTATTGTTTTTTGCTTCTGTTTACTGTTGACTTGATTAGAAAGACCCTACTGGCACCAAAAAATGAAGGCAATTCCAGAGACTTATGAATTTATTATGAAGCCATTAAAACTTGCTTGTTATTTCTACGTAAGAAACAACTCTGTCATTCCCCTGGTTCAGTGGGTCATGCCATCCGGCCATGACGACTTGATTGTAGTCCATTCGAAGAAGGTAATTGTTAACACTTTCCATTCCAAGTATTTATCATGTTCAGCGTATATAACATTTGTTTTTCGTCAATTTTGTCTGTTTTCATTGAGTGCTGTGTAAGCGTTAAGTTCATCCCTGGGCTATTTTTATTTATGCGCTTTTGAAAAGGCCTTACGTTATGTAATACACACGATATTGTATCCCAGTTAATAACTTGCTACTCTAGGTTTCCGCTTGTCGAGAGAGTTTTGCGGGGCTTTAAGCGTTGGTTTGAAAAATTTACAACTTACCATTGACTAAATCACTCAGTCAGTAATTTTACACAGACATGACCGAATGAAACTTATCTTGAAGAACTTTCCAGTCACAAAAGTACGTTTTCATTGCCTTACTTTACCCAGGCTAGCTTAAAGAATTATTGCAAACCTAAAGTTTGCAATGAATGAATTCGTGGTGTTAGTTGTTTTTCGTCAACCAGGTGACGGTAAAGATTAGTGAATGCATTATTATTTAATGAATTCGTGTTAAGATGTAATTTTAGGCTCCTTACATTATAGTTAGTGTCAGTTTGTGGGTCAAAACTTTAGCTACAACAACTAGTCTCAACTCCTAACACTAATTCCTAACTCTGTTTTGATATTTGCCTCCTAACTTCTCGTTACTCATTGGTTCGGCTGTATAACCTATGTCAACCAAAGGACCAGTAAAGACTATTTATCACGTAGAAGCTTCAAACAGTTGTAAATACAACAGAAAAACTTATTTTCCCTATGATTGAACTTTAGAATTTTAAGTTCTATGTGTATGCTTTAGCCGCATCAAGACTTAAACCGAATAGTTAAAATTAACAGGTTTCATGTGGCTTGAATCTCATAGGGGTTCTTATTTCAGTGGACGTTTTAGTTATCCTCTTACTTTCTGGGTTCATTTAAAATAGAAAACCAACTGCTAGTGAAATCTTAGAAAGTTTCTTTACTTTAATTCACGACAATTTCTGTTATGCTATTCCATTAACAAAAATACGCTAAACGAGAAACTTAATTTTAAAAGTGCTATGATCGCGCACTAAAGAAGTTGGGTCAGGTTTGGCGATTGGTTTTTATGATGGTAGTCTTTGGTCATCAGAGACTTGTTTGTTTTTAGCCGCTGCTGTTAGTCCACAGTTCTTCCTAAACAAAGAATGAGATTATTACTCTTCTGGGAGTTTTTTAGGTCTTCTTAGTTCAGTTACTTATTTAAGCACAAATATTGGCACAACGGAGAACAATAATATATATGCGCCACAATAAAAGTGAGGTTTTGAGGAGATAAAGGAAGGTGAGTGTAATAGCGAAACAACAAAGCTAAGTAAAAATTGGCGTATGAAAGTAAACCAATAACAACAAAATAGCAATACTAATAACGATGGAAATACTAATAATAATACTACTACTAATAACAATAATAATAATAATAGGAGAGTCAGTTTATTGTTGAGAAATATAACCCAAAATAATTCTTTCAATTAAAGACGGTACGTTCATTTTTTATGAAGAAAGTTACAGCAGGATTGCCACTGGCTTTTATTCTTAGCCATGTCTGATAACGTCTCTAGCCACTGTGTTGCAGCATCTTTTGGACCCCAACCGGGAAGTAGTGGAGGACCAACATGGGTCAGGCCTGTACAGATTTCCTTCACACCAAGACATCATGTCATACACTGACAACCTCCGTTTTTTCCAATCAGTCTGAGCGCCGGTAAGTAATGCACGATGTGGAAAGCTCTGAGACAACATTCTTGGTACCTGTCCAAGCCACCGAATTTGATGCTTCAAGATGGTAATACCAACTGAATTATCTTTGCTGTTCCTGGATACATGTTGCCAAAACTTTGCATCACTAACATGGCGTTGCCACTGAATATCATTCTATCGGAGATTATGGTCAAACGCGGAGAGTCGCTTAACTGTCAACCTGGAGAGTCGAAGATTCGCAAGTATTGGGCAAAACTTCTCTGACTTGGGAATTGTAGATCCGAATTTTCCAAGTCACAAAGATTACAAAGATGGACAAGATGAGCATAAACCCCGCTAGCTCTCACTGTATTGATTTTTTTATCACACCACCACCAGCACTTAAGCAGCTACTCATATCTTCGAACTTTCCAATTACTTTATCTGTTCACCACCAAGAGTGATTTCAGACGTAAGCTATTACTAGTCTTGTAAAAGTATTTTGCACTCACAAACCACGTACAAAGCACATGCAATACCTACGAACACATTGCTAACAAACTAAGTACAGATTGCATGGCTTGGCTTTCGTTGCACATCAAGACAATATCATCCTCACACTCAATGTCAAAATGTCTCTCTCCAAGTAACAGGTCCACACCATTACCCACATCCACCAGAGCTGTTTTCAGAACGTAATCGATGGCAAAGTTGGAGAGGAATGATGAGATTAGGAAACCCTGCTTAACCACATGGCTTGAATGAAACAATGAAGAAAAGGGTCTTCTAAGTTACAGGTATTCGTCCATTGACGACAAAATCTTATTCCTTTTGTAGGATTTTGAAAACGTTTGTGGTTAGTCTCTAAAGTATGCGATCTTTCGGGTCGCAAGAAATTTCATTCAATGATAGGTTAAGTAAAGGGGATTCCTTATTTAACAACAAAAAGACCCTAAATAAAATTTTGATAGTGTAATATGAATATAGAGTTGATTTAAAATGTGTGGTGTATTTGGGTTACACATTTCATAACATGGAGATCTTTGTGAGAGACATACTGTTTTAAATAGACAAATTGTAGTGACTAGATATCATCAAATAGCGTTTTCACACTATTGATAACGTCAGTGGTGATAAGTCCACTCATGTGACTTTTAAAGTTTATGAGAATGTGTCTTAGTTTCATTTTCACTTGTTTTGACTGAGGTTTGGGTGCTGTGGTCCTTCTTAAACTAAAGACAATGAAGAATATTCATCTTATCTTTGAATGAACAATCGAACAACTGGACAGAATTCTCAGTCACTAGTGATTTTAAATCTTACCTTTGATTGGATACGTTTTACTGACACGTAATTCGAATTGACCTGGATTATTTTAATTTTGTTCTATTTCTTAGCTTGTTGAGTTCAGTTGCAATTCTATCCCAGAAACTCAACGTAATTTAAGTGGGAGCTGCTATTCAACGGAAATCACGATTATATCAATCAGTGGAAGTGATTATTTTGATTGCGTTATTCGGACATCAAATCACTCAGACATCGCTATTATTAACTCATTTGCAGTCCTTCGAAAATTGACCGACAAACTTTTTCCTTATTCAAGGTGAGTTTCTCTATATTTTTACGAATATGAGTTTTTTAATCTTAAAACATGACACTTAAAATGTCTCTCATGCATTTTTTTGTTGAGTTTTAATGTCTAACCTTCTGATTAACAAAATTATCTCCAAAGTAATATCAGTCCCCCAAAAAACGATTCCCTCAGATAACTTAGGGATATCAGTGGGTCTAAGTATCTAAAAAATGGAGAGAAATACTGATAGGATGGGATTAGTTTTACCAAATATGAAAAATAACTATATTTCCTCATATTAACATTTCATATCATAACTGTCAATTTTCGTGACCTCATACTAATATACTAGTTATTAACTACAACTCAGAAAATTAATCGCAAAAACTCTGTAGTCCTGTATATTGATTGAACCGCTTTCATTTACGTGATGAAATTTTAATTAAAATTTCAGTATTCCCTTTTGACCCGCTGTTTAATTGAAGAAGAAACATTTTTTGACAGTATTATTAACCTAAGCTTCTTTATCTTATAGGGATTTAACAGATATAATAGTTTATTTTAAAATAGGTGATTACATCATAAAATGTTTAGAGATTTTAAATATCACATGTGTAACCATCCGAAAGGTATGAACTAAAAATGTTAGGAAAATATACGTGAGGTAATTATCCATTTGATATGTATAAAGGTGAGAGAAATAAAGGACCTAGGTGTGATAATAGCAAGTTACTAGAAGAGACTATGAACTGTAATTACGTAGCGTGAAAATTTAGAGGTGGAATGAAAAATATTAGACGTGTCGGTTTGGTACATAAGGAGTGAAGTAGTCGAACGCGTCGACAAACTTCACTTATGTTGAAAGTTTTATCAGCACTAATATGTTGGTGTCTGATGAAATCTCTGCACGAACTTAGAAAGCTCGTTTGGCTTTTGCCAACTTACATCACCTGTGGCGAAGGCGAGATATCCGTCTATCAATAAAAGGACGAGTATATTGCACGGCTGTTCCTTCTGTTCCACTTTACGGCTGAGAAACGTGGTCATTAAGGGCACAGGATACTCGTAAGTTACTAGTATTTGACCACAGATGTCTTAAAAATATTGCTTTCATCTGCTGAGACCACCGGATAAATAATAGTGAGGTTAGACACAAGGTATAAGGGAGTGGTGGTAAATCAATTGATGAGGTTGTGAATTTTCATCGACTGAGATAGTTGGGCTACATGTTGCGTATGCCTGAACACCGATTACCACGACGCTCAATGCTGACTAGTGTTGAGGATGGGTGGAAAAAAGTTAGGGGCGGTTAAACCAAAACGTGGCATCAGTCCTTGAAGTCACTAACTTCTGGTCTGGGGCATGTTGGTAGATGCAAGATACTTGGTTGAGGTCTGCGCGATTATCGTAATCAATGTTTGGAGACTGTGTGACTTGGATCAGAACCGATCACAATGGCGTAGGTGTATACAATTTTTGTTTTCCCTTAAACCGTGAGATTAAAATTGCTTCATATCTTTTTTCCTACGAACTAATTTTTTCTCCCGGTATCATATCTTTATAATATACAATCACCTTGTTGTGCTATTGAGGTGTGGCAGCTTGGACAGATGCATATATGTGCCTAGTCTTACATTGTAGCTGACTAACATAAAGTTTAAACGTGAACCAGTGGATCACTAAAGCTTCTGCAGTACACAATCTCTTTTATTTCTAATCCCATCACGCTCAAGCGTTTGACACTGCAGATAGCTTTAAAAGATATTTCTGTTTGGACAGTGTAATCAGAGTCGAAAAATGTTCCAGTACTGAAATGTTAATATTTTTGCATTCTCTTTTTGGATTTCGCGCTCAGAGATAATTATATATTTAGTATAATGTTTATTTATACTACTTTGAACAATAAATCCTAATGTATAAAAAGCGGTCTTGAATTGTGACCCATGATTGTTCTTCTAAGAATTAGCCCTATAGTACAGTGATCAGTTATGTTATTATTGTCTATATATGAAGTCAAAGTTTTACAGGGTTTTATAGATCAATCATGATGCGTATTGTCCTGTTTGCTGTTTGCTTTTATAATATTTTGATGATTCAAGTACAGTATATTCGTAATTAGCGTTTGATTTAAAAAATGATACATGATTTTCTTAGAATGGGGCTTGTAACATGTTTACTTCACTGAGAATAAATAAATACATTGAATACATCGAACAAAGGAAGCAAAACTTATTTTCTCGTATTCACTGTTGAGACATAGGCTTAATTTATATATCTGACTTGATCCATGCCTACCATTTGTACATAATTTCACTTGTTTTGTAAATATTATTTGTGAAAACCGCTACTATAGTGATACAGAATTTGAAGCACCAAATTTTGAATTAATTGATGAACTACGTCTACCAAATGAAGTCGGTTCTGGTGATGTTCATTCCGATTTGTTCAGTGTAACAAACAAAAAGAATTCCTTAGATTTATCAACGCTTATTTTAACAAATTACTCTGAGTTTCGATTCTACTTGTTAGATAATGTAACTTGTATGTCCAAAGACGTAATTCTGGTATGTCATGTTCCACGGACAATAAGTCAACTTGAAGTATGGTATTTAGGCCAATACGACAAACACCCTAGGCTTTTGAAAGTGAGTTCAATGAATTTGTTTTATTTAAGGTCTTTATTTCCTCTTGAACTATTTTGCTATTCATTCTTATGATATGATTTTAATTCCCCTAGATAGTATAAACACTCATAACTCAGTGATCTAAATGTTAAAAAATAAAGCAATCACATGTTCAAACCCGTTTTGTCTACCCTCTTTTAGTAGGCCTGTAGCATTACAGATAAGCTAATTTATCGGGATGTAAGTTCGATTTAATATATAAATCAATGCTAAATTGTCACTTTATCACGTCTTTGGTTTACAGAAACAACAACTAGGTTCATGTGTTACTAACTAGTTAGTATGATGATTTGTTTGAAAAACTATCAATGCCGTGATTCAGGTTTGTAAATGATTCTTTAGGTCTACAGACAGTATTTCTTATATAGCTGGAGAAAGTAATGGTGGCATTTACATGCGCCAAGTTACTTGAAAATATGCAGTTTCCCATACCAAGTGTTGTCGAAAAATCCCCTAAAATCGTTACTGCATTACAGATAGAAGTGTTTGGACGTCTTCAGATTGAACTGATGCTTAAAACTCTTGTGTTTAGCAGATGTTTCTTCTCCAAACTTTTACGTACTAATCACTCAATAGTAGGATTTTGTTATCAAATTTCATTGAAGCTAATAAAACCTAGCTCTGTACTGAAGTGTTTACTGATCATAGTATGAAAATTTGCATCACAAGTAATTGGCATTTCCTATCGTGATAATGACAGTGAGTTTTCAACTATTTTGTGAGACTGCATATATGAAACTAAGGCATCTTAATTCTTCGTCTACTGATGTATATCTCTATTAATATAGATCATGGTTAGCGTAAACTAAAAATGTAGGTAAAACACTGAATTACGTTTTTTATTTTTAATGAAATGCTATTTGACAACAAAATACTCACACTTACTCGAGCACATCATATCTTTTCTGAAACAATATATTGGATCTACATCGAATACACTTCATTATTTGTACATACTCAAGTTCCAGTGGTGTCTCCAATGTATTGATTGATTTGTTATATTTGAGATACGATTGTTAATTAGGCGTTTACTTACTTACTTACTTACTTACGCCTGTTACTCCCAATGGAGCATAGGCCGCCGACCAGCATTCTCCAACCCACTCTGTCCTGGGCCTTCTTTTCAAGTTCCATCCAATTCTTGTTCATTTTTCTCATATCTATCTCCATTTCTCGGCGTAATGTATTCTTTGGTCTTCCTCTCTTCCTTCGACCTTGAGGGTTCCATATGAGGGCTTGTCTTGTGACGCAGTTCGGTGCTTTCCTCAATGTGTGTCCTATCCACTTCCAGCGCTTCTTCCTGATTTCTTCCTCCACTGGGATCTGATTTGTTCTCTCCCACAGTAGGTTGTTGCTAATAGTGTCCGGCCAACGGATCCGAAGTATTTTGCGTAGACAACTGTTAATAAACACCTGTATCTTTTGGACGATGGATTTCGTAGTTCTCCAGGTTTCCGCGCCATACAGTAGAACTGTCTTGACATTTGTATTGAAAATTCTGACTTTGGTGTTGGTTGCTAATTGTTTTGAGTTCCAGATGTTCTTCAGTTGTAGATATGCTGCTCTTGCTTTGCCAATCCGTGCCTTCACATCTGCATCAGATCCACCGTGTTCATCGATGATACTGCCCAAATATGTAAAGGTTTTTACATCTTCCAAAGCTTCTCCGTCAATTGTGATTGGATTGGTACATGTTGTGTTGTATCGAAGAATCTTGCTTTTCCCTTTGTGTATATTGAGACCTATTGCTGCTGAGGCTGCAGCTACACTGGTTGTCTTCTCCTGCATTTGTTGTTGTGTGTGCGATAGAAGAGCCAGATCATCTGCGAAGTCTAGATCATCCAACTGCATCCTAGCTATCCACTGTATCCCGTGCTTCCCTTCAGATGTTGATGTCTTCATGATCCAGTCGATCACCAGGAGAAAGAGAAAGGGTGAGAGTAAGCAACCTTGCCTGACACCGGTCTTTACTTCGAACGACTTTGTCAACTGTCCTCCATGAACGATCTTGCAGTTTAATCCATCATAGGAATTCTGTATGATATTGACTATCTTCTGAGGCACGCCGTAGTGTCGAAGAAGCTTCCATAGGGTTGTTCTGTCCACGCTATCAAATGCTTTTTCGTAGTCGATGAAGTTGATATAGAGTGATGAATTCCATTCAATTGATTGTTCCACAATGATCCGTAGAGTTGCGATTTGGTCTGTGCACGATCTATCCTTACGGAATCCTGCCTGTTGGTCTCGAAGTTGGGCGTCTACGGAGTCCTTCATCCTGTTTAACAATACCCTGTTGAAGACTTTTCCCGGTATTGAAAGAAGAGTGATTCCCCTGTAGTTGTCACAGTTGCTGAGATCGCCTTTCTTTGGTATTTTGACTAGAAGTCCTTCTTTCCAGTCTTTTGGTACCTGTTCCTCATCCCAGATCTTTTTGAAGAGAGTTTGGAGTATTTTTGCAGTTGCCGCCTGGAGTCCCTTTCCGGGGGCTACTGCCGGTCCCAAGCCCGGATAAAGGAGGAGGGTTGGGCATGGGGTTAGCGACCCCATCCCGTAGAAAACTAACTCGCTAAAAAACGTTAATTAGGCGTTAAAAGTAGAAAATGAGCTTATATGTGTTTTTATTGCCGTCGTTTATGCAATTTCCCTATACACCATATATATGGTTTATTATTTTTGGAATTTTTCGACAAGTTCCACTCATAAAATGCGATTAATTACAATAAAAAGTATACGTAGTTTAGTTTAAGGATGAAGTATTTTCTCATTTTTCTTGGTTGATGCTTTCAGATTTTCCATGGTGATCTAGCTTCAATTGACTCATGATCTCAAGATTCATTATCAATTAACATGTTTCCGTTAGTGGTTTACAAGTATTTATTTTTCGCACTTTTCTTTGTATTATTGGGCATGAATAATGGTTGGCATTAAACGAGAAATTTTCGAGCCAGTGGATTTTAGTTGAGAGGTTGAATGCTGCGCGGGCATATTTAAACTCATGTTTGTAAATTAAGTAGTACTACTACTAATATCGTTAAATATATTATAATGACAATCAGAGCTGCCTATCTCGGTCTATCGATGCTGGTGTCAAGTTCAATTGTGTTATACGTCGATACCTCATATAAACTCAGTCAATCGTTGATAATACTGATCTGAAGTAAACATATTTATTTGAGGACGAAATTAAGCGAGGAAGAGATTTTTAACTGTCTAGAGTCAATAAATAATGAATGTACGTGGTGAGTTATTAAAAGTGGGGTTGATATTTCTAAACATACGTTCAGCTAAGTTCAATCCATTAAAGTCAGTGAGGTCAAGATTAAGTGTGGAATACCGAACAATTTAATTCGAAGTATTAGTCACCTCTATAATGGTTTTAATTTAGTAGTTCCTAGTTCATTCGGTTATTATGTGAAAAGTATTCATCTCTTAAAACCTAGCATTAATAAAACAAACCCCAGGTGTTTTGCTTGATTCTAGGTATTTTTTCTTCTGTATTCTTGTAAATCTAGGACTCAAAAGTATCCGACTCTTTCACAAACAATGAGAAGCGCTATGTGCTATTTGACAATAGCATTACATTAAAATTAGAAAATTTGTCCCATAGAGATAGTGGATTGTATATATGCAAAAATGATTTCTATTATAAAAATGTAACAATTGCAGTTATGGATTGTTCAAAATCAAGTAAATTTATTTTTCCCTTTTATATTATTCATTTCATATATGTTTTAATGTAATTAATAATGCTAGGATATCGCATTGAGATTTGACAACAATTATTTGGATATGTAAATGTCTGTAATCCCACATCTCACATCGAAAAGAGACAGCCGAGATATGTATGCACTGCGTTTGTGCAGAATCTCCCTTCAATATATTGCATTGATCGTGATTCAGTTTATAAACACCTGTGGTAGATAGAAAATGTATGTATCATACAGAGAAGACTATTTACCTTACCGGTAACGTGTAAGTGAATATACGGCCATGTATTTTTACTGACGATGTTTCATATAGTACGATTTAATATGAGCCTGTCGTCAGGATAATGATGAACATCACACATACGGTTTACTATTTTATTTGATTCTTTGTCAAACTTTTTGGAACTTCCATTTATATTTTATTTAGTGTTTAGCGGTTCCTCCTTCTATTTCTTATCTCATTTGATTTCGTTTCTTATTGCATTTTGACCATGGGATCAACTTATAGTAATGTTTCAATTATCACTAGATTATAACATATATTCTTTTTTTTAACAATGAAAATGAATATCTTCATTCGGTCACTTAAATTATTAAACACTGTTACTAAGTAATACTTGAAAATATTGCGTCAACGTTATCTAGTTCAGTATTTGTGTTGCAAAAGTTATAATATCAGAAACTAGTTGTCAGCTTTGTCAAATTATAAATTCTTTAAAGTCTGTTCTTTATTTTATGTATTAAATTATAATGAACAGAGCTACTTACTGTAATGTGTTATACCGTCAACACAATTAAATACTGTCTTACTTTTTTGGTGCAGTATTAAGTTTACCTTGTTTACTTTAAATTTCTTTATTACAAAATACTGGTAAGGTACTGATTATCCAGATCAGTAAGGCAATAACAATGTGTAATTTAATATATTCAAGTTTGACTATTTGACATTCTTGTGGTTTGTGATCACTAGGTTCATGATTCACACTCACTTTCCTTGCAATTTGATCAAAAATATAAAGAAAATTTGTGATGTGCCGACATAATTGAAACATCATTCACAAGGATCCGAATATAATTAATTCACTATATTTAGAATCTTAGAATCTTCAATAATTTATTCTCACAAATTAATTTTCACTTCTAGACCCATAGAATTAATTATTAAAATAATGTAATATTTGGTCGTTCTCTGTTCTATGCAATTTCAAAGTATTCTTGCTGGAACTAATTTGTTTTTGTACATGAGTCTGTTCTTATAAATGTAGCAATTTGGTTCAGTTAGATGAGATGAGATATTAGATTGCTTGGTGTATTTGCCAATAAGATCAGAAAGTCGATTGATCATGAGTCACACCCTTTCTTTTATACACAAATATTGACTGCTGACTGATCAAATGGTATGTGAATAGGATGTATGCTAATGCAGTGTAAGTTAACAACTTTTGCATACTCGACGCCAGAAAATATTTCGCCTTGTTATAGATTCACACTCTTACAATCCTTTCCTTTCAGAGTTGTTTACAGAATGCTATCAATCGAGAAATTGAAGGGGAATGGTTAGCCTGAGATATGCTATTAGTGTACAATAAGATGAGATGTGTTCGTATGCCATCACCTCAATATTATGTTTTTTCGATTGTCGCTTTTTAAATGCTAATGAACTTCTCAGGTATACGCCTTTCTAACAAACTGTTCCAGAACGCAGTCGTAGTCTCTTATTCCAAGATATAATGAGTGTTAGCTTCCTGTACTTTGGACTTAATTGCTTTGATAGATACTTCATATGTGATTAACATATTCAGATGAAATCCATTCTGTCCTTCATAAGTAACCTTACACTTTAAGTATGCTCTACACAGTACGATAATACCCAAGGATTTGGACGCAGTTGGTGACTCGATGGTTGCCAGATGTATTGCAAAAGCTTGTTTGAGTTTGCTTTCTTAAAATTAACGCGACTCAATCGAATAGTTTCATCAGTCATCTTGTTAGAATATCACCGTCCTTGAAAAAAAACGGAAAATAATAAAAGTGGCGGAGTTTATGTACATTTATTAAGAAAATACGTCATAGTTTCTTCGTCAATTTCATTTAGTTTTAGCTGTGTCTAGAAGTAATAAATTGTTATGAAAATAATTCACCTAATTAACTAGTGTTTAGCATGGCGAAGACAGAATCGCCGTGATGATAGTTCCCCACACACGATAGTTATGGATAAAATATGATTATAGTCTTGTAATACTGGAATAACCTATATTTGTTTGTGCATTGACTGTTTACATGACTCCCCCAAGCTGTATTGTGTTGGTATTAGGAAAATGTACTTCGCTTACATGATCAAACATGCTTTTTTGTCAGCGTGGGCTGTTGAGGTAAATGACCCCAAGCCCATCAACTTAATGTTTAGTTTTCAAATCGAAGTGGTGCTCACATGACAAGTCTGATGTTTGTGTATATACATATATATATGTATGTTCGTCTAACGCTCATAGTGTAACTACTTTGTAGACTTTAATATGATTTGGTCAGATTACCACCTAATTTATGTTTGGGCTGTGTCGTTTAGATGCGGGGGCGTTCTCACTCAAGTATTTATTAAACATCCCCTCATCATTAGGCAAGAATCGGGGTTGTCTGTTCAAACATGTTACAAGCTACATCGTGTTTAAAGTAGGACTTAAATATAATTTTTGTCTAATATAAAAATGCTGGTCAATTTACAAAACAGTCCAATATGTTCTTGCTCTAGGATAACAATCACATGTCTATGAGCATATTTTTTTCGTCCTTGCTCTACATGCCTATTGGCTTGTCATTAAGGGTGCACACTAGATCATGCTGGGACGTGCTTTGAGTGAATAATTCAAAATAAAACTAAAAAGTGGAAACAATGACGTAGTTTGGTTTTTTTTCATTAGCTTATAGTACTACAATCTAGCGTCATCCATTAAAATTTATTCTCAATCATTTGGTGATTTTAGCCATACCTAAATATTACTAAAATGATAAATGATTTTATCCTATCAGAAAGATTTATTATATTTATATTGTTTTCTGTTAGCTGTATTCTAGGAAAGACTGTTTAAGGAAATTCTTATTATGAATAGTTTGTCTTATATATATTAGTTCGAAACACTGCCAATTTTTCAAAGATTTTCTCTTGTTTTCACGGCATCACCCTTCAAAAATCCTGAGTATTCATGTTTACGTCACCAATAAATTGAAAACTCCCGGTGTTTCTGTTTGAATATGTGATATTCTTTTGTCTTAGTATAGATATTTTACCTTTTTTATTAATAGGTTAAAGTAGTTAATTATTTGTAATTGTAAAATATATCAACTAAATTTTAATTCACTATAAAAATTTGTCAACAGCTTAATACTGTTTATCATACATGCATACCAGTTTATTAATTAAACGAAATCCAATCTTATCCTGATTATCAATGATGCTTTACAAAAGTTGTTTTGAAGGCGATTGTGAACATATATTCAATAATGTTGTGTTGCTATCGTATCTAGTTGTTTGTTGTATTGTCTCTTTTTGTCGATTCTTTATTAGAAGACAAATTATTGAACCAAGGTCATAATGACTACTTGCAAGTAGTCAAAATATTAATAATGTAGAAAGTCATTTACCATTTGATGAAATTCTGAAGGGTTGATTTCATCATGTATATACATTCATCAACCATAGTAGTAGATTATGTTCATTAAAAATCACCTGGATAAGAGGTTACACAACAAACGGTCGATAAGATTTTATCAACAACATGAATTAATTTACATGATATAGGATGTTACTCAAAGGTCAATTACTTGGAATTTGACTCGGCTTTTCATAATTTACTTATGTTTTGGAAGAGTGACAGTTGAGTAAATGTATTGAAGAAACTATTTTTAACTTACAAACAGAGAATGTATCTCTACAAAGAATATTAACTGTGATAATAATACGTTTGCTTAATTTGAAAAAGTATGGTGTCAGGGGATGAAAATTGGTGTACTGAAATAATTGAAAGACTAAGGTTATTGTTGACAGCTATGAACTTCCGTACTATAGATTCTAGAGTGCAACTTTATTTCTCCGCTCAGGTTATAGCTCATAGTTTATATCTTTATTGTGTAGATTTGTTTGTTTATTAAATTATTCTGGAATTATACTAGCCGACTTCCAACTACAACCAACACGAGAATCAATTCTATCGCATACAATTTTCACTCACTCAAAAAGAACTCAACACTTTAAGAATATTTCAAGTAACGTTGTTATGTTTAAGACTGGAGCATAGGGATTAATTAATCCTTGAAGTTTAATAAGAATGAATTAATGTGACGTATGCTAGTAGCATTTTAACCTGAGGACAAGTAAGCGTTGGTATATGTATAAATCATTTAGAGATTGATAGGAAGCTACTACGTACTGTGTATCATTTGTTCACAAATGCCCTCTCAGTTGATAACATAAAACTTTAACGTCTCAGCGAAAACAAACTACGGCTCAACTTTTAACTTGTAATTGTACAATTTCAAAAATACGCTTTCATAATGTCGTAAAATTCATCATTGATATTGTTTGTTATTGTTTTTAATATAACCCCGTTGTTGAAACTATTTCCATTATACCAATAAAGTTACTAGATATCATCAATCTACACTAGATTATTGAACATATTCACTTGCTTGGAGGTTCTTTCTTATATGTCTTTTTCATTTTTATCATTATTTCACAGCAGATTTCATCTCTAGGTTCCTCCCACCTATTCTTATTTGGATAATCATATTTATAACAATTTCAACTATCCCTCTATCATTGATATATTGTATACAAATTAGGCGTAAGTCAATGCAAACTGTGCTCTCTATACCTATTGATTTTTTGGATAAGCATGCAAAATCAAAACGTATTGATGTTTTCCGTAAAATGAATTTGCTGTATACAAAGCCAGAACATAAATTATTGTTGCATCACTCCGGCTCTTCTACATCGTCGTCGCCACCATCGTCATCATTATCTTCCCCGTTATCACCATGTACAATATATTCTCGATCTGATCCTTCTAATATCAGTAATATCGATACAGATACAAAACTTAAGATTACAGATGTACTTGCGTCATTTTCGCAAAGATTATTATGTCAACCATCCAAATATTTTCCACAAAAACATAACATTCTTCAATGTAACGTAATGCTGTTACAATGGCTAAATCAGTATTTGAATTCTAGTTGTAAAACATATATACCGAAATCATCTTTTACTATAGAAAATCTCCTTGGTGAAGGTAATTATGGAATTGTTTATAAAGGGAAATTATCCATTAATGCTGACGACGAAAGCGATTCTAACGATACTGAGATTGCTATCAAAACGTTGAAAGGTTAGTTCGGCTATATATATATATATATATATATATATATATATATATATATATATATATATATATATATATATATATATATATATATATATATATATATAACCGGTAAATACTTTAAATATTTCATTGCTTTTGTGATTGAAAGTATCCTCTCCCTATCTAATAAATTTTATTATGTATACATTCTACGAACTACAGCCAGTGTTACTGATGATTGTTTGGGCCTTATTCTAATACAGTTTCACCACTTACACAATCGAAAACACATAAGCTAAAACGTTACTTTGAATAGTAATGTTATCCGAATATCCATGGAGATAATCTCTCACCTTTTGATCTTTCTTCCTCCATTGATGACGTGTATGAAATCTCTATATTTTTATATAATGAAGCAGCTTTGGTCGATACATAATAATCCGAGGCTTTACATTGTTGAGTTATATCGCTACAATTATGTTTAGTTCCTCGTGGACTAGATTTTCCATAATAATATACAAGCAGATAAATTGGATTACGAACAAGAGGGGTACAACTGTAACCTTACTAATTATCGAGGACCCAATATTTCGATTACATTTGCATAATGCTGGTTTAATTGATCACGTGATAATGTTATATCATTCACATCATTTAGAATTGTCCTCATTGATTTGTGTTACTTAGAAATCATAAGTAAATCAGAACATAAATTCAGTTGTAATTAGTACGACAAGTACTATAGCATTTCAATTTACTGATTTTTTTGATATGCCCTACTCAAAATGGTAATATTTTCTCCGAATTAAAGATAATTTAGGTCTAGTTCATAATATTAATAAACGTTTTGCCCATTAAGTGAAATTTACTCTCGAATCGATTGCCTTTGAAAATTTATTCGAACCTCCTTCTTTCTTTTAAATTATTCTAATCATTCATTCTAGGGTACATCTAGTAACTAATTATTTCATTTTTTTATGATGTTGTATAAGCTTTAAAAAAAGAACACATGAAATCTTCCCACCAATTTTGTTAAGATCCAATTTTTAAACAATTTAATTAAAAAATGTCTGGTCAAACTAACTTGCAGATCATACTGAAAATGAGTAGAATACAAATTAATGTTATAAATCTCATTTGTATCTGTACAAAAAAACTGAATTAATAAAATTGTCTTTTGCATCTGTCTATGTAATTAACTAACCCAAAAATATAATTACATGGGAAATAAGTAGTGCCATTTGTATGCGAGAAAATAAAATCTTCGTTTATTGTGAATAAAGTTTTATGACAATGAACAATAGTCTATTGTACTCACATAGTCGTCCATATGTCACAGTCAATAACAGTAATTATATTAATAATGAAAATAGTAATAATAATATCAGTGTTTTTATTATTACTCTTAGTTGCTGAGTAAACCTACAAAGGTGAGTCGTTGCTAGTTCATCATTCATAAAACGAATTTATTTAAAAGTAAATAGGGAATAATGGACAAACGTATTAGTATATGGGGGGACTAGTCCGTCAGAATTAAGATTTTTGCGCTAAATCCAAACATTACTTAAGACGAACAGTAGAAATACCTTTTATTTTGCTCAAAATGTTTGAACTGATGGTGAAGTATTTCTTTTGTTAAACCAAAGAGTGAGAACGGATAGCCTAAGACAAACTGAACTCTTAATTCCATCTTTTTAAACTGTAACGAGTAAATGAACACCATTCCTATGTCTTAATCTCCAAACCCTTAATCCTGAAACAAACTTTAACTTCTTTTAAATAAGAACTTTCGTCTAAATTTGAACGAATAGTTTCACAATATTTGGGCGCCGAGTTAATGTTACCATATTTTGTAGACGAATTAATCTTATAGTGCCCTTTGGATTTCTGCGCTAAATTAATTGATCTGTATGAACGCAAACCACTTTTGCATTATACCTAATGTCAATTCGTGATGGGAACTCTAACCGTAAACCAATAATCCTAACCCTAATTAGGAACGATTCAGGGACTTGAAAATCTGTTTAGCTCCTTATAAAGATTATGAGAAACGAATAAACGATATCTATAAACACGAGTCTGTATGTCATTTTTTCTCAGTTTACATGCAGAGTAACCTGTAGATTTTATTAAGTTCATCAAATATGTAGAATTTGTTTACATTGTCGTTTTCTTTTTTATAAACTATCCATTTATAAAGGCAGTTTTATGACTGACTAAGAACTAGCTCTAAGCGAATAGTATTTCGGATTTGAACCTTCAAGTAAATTAACAACTTAATTGAAGTTTTCATTTCGGAAGTTGTGGATATCAAGTAAAATGTAGCTTACCTATCTGGTCTATCATCTTTAGCATGCATACTAAAAACGATTGGATTTATCAAACTACTAGCCAATAATCTCTTTGGCGGATGATCGAAAAATATCAGTAATCTTTGGTAATTTAAGTCTCACTGACCAACACTGCTAGGCATTATTTTCTCATAACGTGATGTTAAAAAATTGCTGTGCACACAGTTTGAGAATTCGGAGTTTTATTAACTATGTAAAACTGATCGGTACTGAAACTTTATCTGCTATTCAAAACCATGTTATACGCTTGTAGCATTAGGTTTGTACATTTACTGTGATAAAACTACATTTCTAGTTTCGTAGACTGTAATAATGTTTAATAACCAGGACACTAATCATACTGTTATTTGAGGAATAATTCTTTATGTTATTCGTTGGGGACAATGAGGTTATTTACTGAACTATTTGACTCTAATAAATTTACCTACGGTTGGAAGTGTTTATGACTAATCATTGAAGATTTGAGCCATTAGCTCATTGAAACGGTTCGGAAAAGGAAATTATCGCAAAAATATAGGAACCATTTTTCGAATTCACGAACCCTACTAGATCATAAGTTTTTTTAAAACGATTTTTGAGTCACTGATAAAAAATTACCGGATGATCACTATAACATAAATTGCACACCAATACATTTTTGAAGGATTGATCTACTAGGAGACTCACTTATTGACTTAGAATACACGAATAAATAGTACTATTTCATGATGACCCTGACATAATCCAGTCCCCGAATACCTTAAATAACAATACAACCATGTTTTGAATCCATCTCCCACCCTTTAAATTTAAAATGTTAATTTAGGACGGGTCAGCATCAATACTTAAGCCAATCATATGGAATAATGCATGTGAGCACGTTGACTACTTCGACTATCTTGAAAGTTTAGTCAGCCCTGTTGATTTGCTTTCTGACTAAATCTTAACACAGGTGCAGAATGCTCACTTGGCTTTGCTAACCTGCATCTTTTCTAGAGTAGGCGACTATACTCTATATTAATCCTCTATGTTACTATTTTGCTGTAAAACACGATTTTAAGAGTAGAAGACATGGATAGACCATGCTCTTGACCATAGGTGTATCCTAAGCAATTTCTCATCTATGTTTGGTCTACTGATTCAGCAATATTGAAGTTACCCGTAGGGCACTTAGTAAAGACAGTAGATCAGTTAGTGTGACTGTGGACATTCACCAAATAAAGTGGCTAAGGCAATCATTACGTATGACAAACGGCCTACTACCTCGGCAAACGATGTTGGTTGCTGTAAAAGTAATTTAGGGGTTATTAAACAAACATGCACCATCAACTCGTGAAATCATTAACTCCTTAATTGAATCATATTAGTACATTCGGATTATCTTGTTGAGATCAAAGGGATTTTTGTGACTAATGATTGAAAACATCTGGTGACATAAATCAGAATATGTCACAATGGTGTACATAGATTCATTCTTTGTATTCCTTAGAACCCGAGTTTCAAAATTCTTTTATACCTTTTATTCCACGAATTCATTTCCTTCTGAGTCATATTTCCCTATACCTAATCTTTTCTAAAATCACTGATACTACTATTAGTACATTGGTATTCATGTTAATAATTTTATTTCACTTTATTGATGTAGCATGGTATTCTAGACTGATACTCAGATGTGTCAGGTTCCATCTTACTCATATCTGTTCTAGTGTTATCTAGAACGTAGATATAGCTAATTGATATTTATTTACGTTAAATTCAGAATCAAGAACATTCAAGAAGTTACAGGTGCGTTCTAAATCATAAAAGTACCGTGCTATAACATTTAGTATAGTGTGAGAAAGAATTTCATAAACGTCAGTTATGGCACTTCCTACTAGAAAATGCTTGGCGTACTTGGAATTCAAGATGATCTGGATATTTTAAGAAGTCCAGATAAGAAAGTGAAGTAAATAACACAAAGTAAATTAAACAATTATTACGATATAAATAAATAATATATATATTTATTTATTTATAACAATCAACCCAATGCTCGATTTATTCGAAATTATCAAGTCAAACCTTGGTAATGATACCTACAATTATTACGATAGCTTTATACAGTCAGAAAATTGAAGAATCAATGACTATGACCAGCCCGCATAACTCGAACATTTTTATAAAGTAGGATCTAACAAGTAGTAAAACCTCATTATATACATTATATAGATATATACATTGTTTAAATTACGTAGTTATACAAAATCCTAGATATTATAATATAATAGTTGATATAATGATACGCCTATTGGAAATTGTCGCTTAAGAAAAAAATCATCTAGCCTATTATTTGTTTAGTTTACCATTTGAAATTCATCGTTATATGAACTCCCTGAATTGATGTTCATATTATTTTAACGCTTACGAATATTTATTGTAACCATCTTTTCATAATTTTGTTGAATGTGTTTTTCTATCGTTTGATTTCTTTTTCACAATTCATTTAAATTGTTTAAACTTATTTGAGTTTCATTATTTCAATTACCTCATCCAATTGCCAATAGATTTAAAGAAGAAATATGTATATATTCATCAAGAATTAATAATGTAATTGGAAGTTTACAATAGTTCAACGGTTATTAATTAGATTCATTTTAGGTTAAATGAGTAAATATTCTAAATCTGTCATATGATTTAAACATTGTAATAAATTGA